AAAGTCATTCTTCGTACAACAATCAGGACTTCAAATTTAAATGAATTCAACTCAATAAACATTTACTGAGTCCCTATCAGGAGCCACAATGAACAAGACATGGACTCCGACCTCAAAGAACTTAGTCTCAAGAGTTTTGCTGTCCAATAAAGTAACCAGTGGCCACATGTCACTATTTAAATTTAAATTGGTTGAAAATAAAAATACAGTGTCTCAGTTGCACTGGCCACACGCATTTCGAGCGCTCAACAGCTTTATGTGGCTACCGGCTACCATATTGGACAGAGCAGATACAGAACATTTCTGTCATCGCAGAAAATTCTACTAGACAGTGCTGCTAGTGGTCAAGAGATCTTCTTGTTCAGGAATTTTGTGCCCCTACTTTGTGGTTGGAGTGTGGCTTACTCTTACAGAGTGACATGTGGGAAACAGCACCACCCTTCAGCTTGACTCTTGAAGGCATGGATTCAGGTTCTGTTTCTGCTGCCATTCTGACTATACTGACCTTGGGCAAGGCCATTTGCCCCTCAGATTCCAGTTTCTTCACCAGCAAAGCAAGGATATCATGCTACAAGATCTCTAAAACTCCTCTGTCCGAATGTCCTGGGACTCTGTGAGTTCACTGGTGGAACATTTCTGTGTGCCCACAAAGTGCCACGGCTAAAAGAAATGACGAAGAAGAACTTTCAACTCCCACCACAATTTTGTTATTCATTTTAGAAATTTAATTTTAGATTCACTCTAGTAGTCAATACTAAAACTCGGTATATGCAGTTATAAACTCACGGAACTGATAAAGTAAGATTATTCGATTACTCATCTTTGTAGATTGTTGAGGTCTCCCTAAAAACCAACTCCATTGCTGTCTAGTTGATTCCAACTTATAGTGACTGTATAGGACAAAGGAAATTTAAATGTGTATTTTATATGTATTCTAAGCAGTTCAGTTCTGATACTGACAATTCTCTGTCCCCATAGCAGTGTTGTTGGGTCAAGTACCGACAGACACCGAGTACCAGGTCTTTGGTCTCCGACTGAGGTGAAAGTTTATGTATTAGCTTTCCCACAAAACACTTATTTAAAATAGCAAACCCTATATTACGTCTAAGGAGCCCTGGTGGCACAACAGTTAAATGCTCAGCTGCCAACTGAAAGGTTGGCGGTTCGAACCCACCAACCACTCCGTGGGAGAAAAGACCTGGTGAGCTCCTCCCATAAAGATTACAGCCTAGGAAATTCTATGCACAGTTCTACTGTGTCACATAGGGTCACTATGAGTCAACATTGACTCAATGGCACTTCTGTATAGACATTATGTCTATACAGAGGAAATGAACACTTATTGAGGACCTTTCATGTATGAGGCACTTAAGTCTTTTTTCTCATTTAAGGACTTACCAGTGTTAGGCTGGGTAATGCCTGTTTGAGAGATTGGCCAACTGAAGAAAATTCCCCATTTCCATTAACTCCACCTACACTTAATGGTACTCCTTAAAGAAATAACCAGTTCTATTTCCTTTTAAAATAGTTATCTTCTTCTTATGGTGTTATTTAAGCCTTGACCCTCCAGATTTTCTCATGTACCTGTGTTCCTCTTTCCCGTATCAGCTGGAAAGTTAACAGTTCCTTTTGTTTGCTTTCTTTTTATCAAGAAGACTGAGAAAATTACATGGGGCCTGCTCCCAGGCTGCGGAGCCTGAGGAGAAGCACTTTAGTTCAGGAGGCCCTAAACTAGGTTTGCAGTACCTTGTTCAAACACAGCTCCTCAGTAATAAGGGGCTTCTGGCTGGGATGGGGGCTCTGATGTACCTGGAGTGGCTTTTAGGAGTGAGGGGTTTTCAGTGACTGAGCTAGCTTGACCGGCTTCTTAGCAGTGCTGTGGCAGCTTGGTTCTCTGGCTAGGTCCTTACAGTTGAGCTACCTTTCTCATTTATTTCTCCTGGTAACAATTCTTCTGGAATCAAATGAACTGGGATTTGATACTTACTCTATGGTTCCCTGGTAGAATTCTCACCTTCCATGTGGGAGACCTGGGTTTGATTCCTGGCCAGTGTACCTCATACACAGTCACTGCTCATCTGTCAGTGGAGGCTTGTGTTTCTTATGATGCTGAACAGGTTTCAGCGGAGCTTTGAGACTAAGACGAGCTAGGAAGAAAAGTCCTGGTGATTACTTCTGAAAATCAGCCAATGAAAACCGTATTAATCACAATGGTCCAATCCACAACTGATCAAGGGGATGGCACAGGACCAGGCAACATTTTGTTCTGTTGTGGACGAGGTTGACATGAGCAGAGGCTGACTCAGTGGCAGCTAACAATAACTACTAGCCTGGGGCGGTTACTCAGCCTGTTTAAGCCTAAGTTTCCTGGGCTGTAAAATGAGGATGATTAATAACTCCTTTACAAAACAGATACGAGCACGTGCAAGGGCTTCACAAGCCACACAATGGATGGGGCTTTTCCTGCTGCTCCTGAGCAGCTGAGATGTGGCAGGAGGAACTCTGGGCCCAGAGTTGGAAAACGGGGTGGGAATCTAGGCTCTGCCACTGTCGGCTGTGTGGTTTCAGGCAGGCCCCCTCCCCAAGCCGTTTCCTTGTCAGTAAAATTGGCATTCTGGGTAACTTACACGCTCTTTGTGCAAATTGATTTGTTCTTTTAAACAGAAATTACAATAGCCCCACTAACCAGTCTTCCTGCTTTTCTCCTTGCCTCCTCCAATCCATCCTGCTCCTCCATACTCCATATTCCGCCTCCCTACCAATGATCCTTCTGAAACAATCTGATTGCATATATCATGTTGTTGTTAGATGCCATACACCGTACAGTCGATTATGACTCATAGCGACATTGTAGGACTGAGTAGAACAGCCCCATAGGGTTTCCAACCCCATGCAACCCCATGCATAACAGAACCCTGCATGATCTCCATCATAGGCTGGATATTAGACCACTGTGATTCATAAACCCATTGCTGTCAAGTCAATTCTCACTCACAGCAACCCTATAGGACAGAATAGAACTGCCCTATAGAGTTTCCAAGGATCACCTGGTGGATTCAAACTGTGCTCACCTTTTGGTTAGCAGCTGTAGCTCTTAACAACTGCACCACCAGGGTTTCCCTGAGATTCATAGCAACACACAAGCCTCCACTGACAGACAGGTAGGCGGTGGCTGTGCATGAGCACACTGGCCAGGAATCTAACCTGGGTCTCCTGCGTGGAGGGTGAGAATTCTACTACTGAACCACCGCTGCCCGCTTGGCTTAAAACGCTGCAGTGACTCCTTATGGCTTTTTACAGTTTGCCCAGAACTTTCCGAGTTTTAGCTCTGATAACCCCATGTCCCCAGAAACCACTCAGTCGGTCACCCTACAAACCCCAGAGGGGCAAACATGATCTGGTCCTCACCCATCTTTCAGTGCTCATCTCTGACCACTCACCTCTGTCCACCCTGCGCTCTTCTCTGCACATTGGAATTACCTGGGGAGCTTTTTGCAAAATACTGATGCCCTGGCCCTATCTCTTGAGATTCTGATTTAATTGGTTTGGGGTGGGGCCTGGGCATAGGTATCTTTGTAAAGCTCCCCGGTGGTTCTAGTGTACAGTCAAGTATAAGGCCATACTCTCTTCCTGCAGGTCTCCAGGCACTCCATGTGCTGTTCCCTCTGCCTGAGCTAATCTTCCCTGCTTTTCTTCCTGCTCATCCTTGTCCTGCTCAAGAGTCTCGTCCCCAAGGCAGCCTTCCCTGATCCATCCACGTAGACTTAGATACATCCCTCCTGTGGGCTCCCAGAGGATTCCATCAGAACCTGCTCATTCTGTATTACAATTGTTGGTTTACTCCAGCCCTCTCCCTCATCTTGAGTTTCTTTCAGGAAGAGATTTTATCTCTCTGCCTTGTAGCCCTGGAGCCAAGCAGGCTCTGGCACATTGCAGACTCTGAGTAAGTATTTGGTGAACAAATTAATCAAGACAAGGCCATCTGACCTTTTGTGAGTTACATTCTAAGAAAGACATTGACACAAATGCCTGCAGCGTGTTACAGGAACAAGAGGTTAAGGACAAAAGAGGTACAAATAAATACAATATAATGCTTCAATAAATCTATAAAAGTAGACAACTCCTGATAGTCACATTAAAAAAATTCTTACTTTCAGTCTTTTGTTTTTCTTTTCTAGGGGACAAAAGAGACTTGTTAGGAAATTCCTCCTCCACCACCATTAAAACCCATTGCTGTTGAGTCGATTCCGACTAATAGCAACACTGTAGGACAGAGGGGAACAGCCCCATAGGGCTTCCAAGGTTGTAATCTTCATGGAAGCAGTTTGCCACATCTTTCTCCCGCACAGCTGCTGGTGGGTTCGAACCACTGACCTTTTGGTTAGCAGCTAAGTGCTTTAACCGCTGTGCCACCAGGGCTCCTGTTCCACCACTATTACCTGTCATAAAATTGTTACTGGAAATCACTTGTCTAACTAAATCAGTTGACTCTCTATTATAATATTTTCTTTCTTCCTCCTTGTTCTTCCCTCAGCTGGTTATCCATGTGTATTTGGAAAGTGGCAGGAAGGTTTGCCGCTAGGAATGTTCCTCTCTCTTTTTAAAACTTTTATCGCCAGGCTTTCTGATCTTCAAAGCAGCCTTCATCCAGTGTGACCCCACTCCCTCGCCTCCCCATGCTGGGGAGTGAGAGCCCTGGGTATTTTTGTCATTTGAGGAGTTGCATATTTGGACAGCCTTGGACAGCTGGATTGTATGGTTCTCACACAACCTGCCGGGCTAAGAGCAAGTCAGCGTTTCCAAGTCCCCTTCTGCCCCCAATTCCAGACACACTAAAAAATTGACACCAGACTCCAGAGTTAAGCAAACATTCAGTTTATAGGTCTTGCATTTTACCCCTCCCTGGGGCAGCAGCCCTTATCCTCTGCCTTTTATTTTTGCAGTTGAGTCTTTGCTGTTGGTGCTCCTCAAACTCTCTCAACTTTTGTGATTATCTGCAGTGCTTGACCCTGGATAAGTTTGAAAGCTATGATGATGAAACTCAACTTACCCAACGAGCCTTGTCTCTGCTGGAGGAAAACAGGTTCTGGGCCGGTGTGGTATTCCCTGACATGTATCCCTGGACCAGCTCCTTACCACCCCACGTGAAGTACAAGATCCGCATGGACATAGATGTGGTGGAGAAAACCAATAAGATCAAAGACAGGTGATGTCTCAGGAAATCTCAGAAGGCCCTAGCCATTCCTAGGATATGGGTCAAGGAGAAGGCCGCCCATCTCCTCCCAGTGGTAGGGGGTTTACTTGGAAAAGCATAGAAACACTTTGGGATCAAAGAACTAAGCTAACTGGTTGGATCTGTTAGTAGGGCCAGGAGAGCTCACGTACCCTGTCTTCTCATCCCTCAAATCAGCACTTGTCCCTGGCTGGCCTTTGTGCAACTTGGTGATAGAACCTCAAGACTTTGAATTGACTTCACGCAGAGATGTTACCAATGGGGTTTCTCCAAAGTGGTGGGAAATTACATTTGGTGGGAAAGTATATTTGGTACAGAGTAAGGAAAAGGAGCCCTTGGTGGCGGCAGTGCTTACTTAAGCCTTGGCTGCTAACCGAAGGGTTGGTGGTTTGAACTCATCAGCTGCTCCATGGGAGAAAGGTGTGCCAGTCTGCTTGTGTAAAGATTAGTGTCTTGGAAACCCTGTGGGGCAGTTCTACTCTGTTCTATAGGATCACTATGAGTAAGAATCAACTCTACGGCAACAGGTTTGGTTTTTGTTTGTTTTGGTTTGTTTTGGTTTGGTTTACAAGGTAAGGAATTGAGCCTGGGCTCAGCCTGTAGATCAATAAAATTAAGTTAAATAAGACAAAGTAAGATATTTTGTAAAGCTGGAAGTAGAGTCCTTGAATGAAAGCAATCACGGAATCACACTGTGGCTAATATTCATAAATGAGATTTAAACTATGAATTAGAAAATAGAATTGAATAGTTTGGAAAGTTTCCATAAAAGGTGCCAAGAGAGTGAGTTCCAAGTGCGCTCGTGAAGTGTGCGTGGGCCCTCCGTTCCCGTTGGCATCCTGTGTCCCCCACTCTGGTTGCTTCTCAGGTACTGGGATTCTGGTCCCAGAGCTGATCCTGTGGAAGATTTCCGTTATGTCTGGGGAGGGTTTGCCTATCTGCAGGACATGATTGAACAGGGGATCACCAGGAGTCAGGCCCAGGCTGAAGTTCCGGTTGGAATCTATCTGCAGCAAATGCCTTACCCTTGCTTCGTGGATGACTCGTGAGTCCCAGGCTCTCGCTCCTCCTCCCTGACAAGCTAATCTGGGCGCTGGGGCTGGGGCTGGGGCTGGGGTTGGGTGGGGGTGCTCCCAGGGCTTTAACTTCTTTGGAGAGAAACCCAGGGACTGGGGTCAGAGTGGGGAGGATGAAGCTCTGACTGAGAACCCTGCTTCTCCCAGGCTCCAGGCAGGGGGAGATGAACAAGCAAAGTGACAGGGAGAGAGAAAGGAGTTAGTGGTGTGGGTGGAAAGGGAAGGTGAAAATTAAAGCAAGGGAAGTGAGGCTGGCAGAGAGGACGAAGGCTTTTAAAAATTCCCACTACGTAGCGTGCTTGGTATGTAGAAGGGTTCTCGTTGGAGTGTTTGCCCAGTGATTGCCAAATCGGCAAATGAGGACTCTGCATGGCAAGTAGGTCCGGTTCCTAGGAGCCTCGGAGTAATGCGGCTCCTTCTCTAATTAACATTCCCATGATGTATGCTTGATGAAAAGGTAGAGGAATGTGTTGGATGAGCTCGGGTCCTTCCTCCCTGCCCACCTCGTCCCCAGGCTAAGGAAGTGGCCTGTTGTTTTGCCGAACACGGACTTGGGGGGTGGGGTGGGGGGTGGAGACAGGCGCAGAGGAGAAACGGGCCGGGAGAGCTCCTTTACCATGGCGGATGGGGGCAGAAATGTTCCCGGGACAGCAGCTGAGACCTAGATTTGACTTAGGGATTCAACTTCTAGAAGAAAACTGACAAGTTCCTCATAGCATACCTGTGTGTCTGCGGAGTTCAGGGAGGAGAGAAGCACGTACAGCTTGAAGGAAGGGTCAAATTGCTAGCTAGTGAGACAGTGAAATAAAACCCAGTATGGGCACAGGAATCTCTCTCTCAACACAGTAGAGAGAGATGGGAAGTGAACCCAGGGGCAAAAACCCATTTCCACTTTTAGAGCAGAATGGGAGTGACTGGCAGAGAATTGGGGTGGGTGTGGAGAGACAATAGGGATTGGGTCATTCAGCGTGGGAGAGCCCTCTGGTGTTCAGTCCCGGAAGTTCAGACTTTCTGAACTTTTGCCATTCTCCTCCTAGGACCATCTTGAGTGAAACGCTCCCACGCTAGAATTTGGCCCTTTCTCTCACAACACCTAACAGTTTCCAATAGATATTAGCCCCCAAGGACTTCACTAGCAAATCAAACACATAGAAAACTGTGTAAAGTTCAGAACAAAGTAATTCCAGATTATCAAATCCACCCTGCTTCCTGGAGTGCATATCCATGGATCTGCTCCACCTGTGCGTGGCTGGTAGAGTCGGCAGATATTAGAACTCGGGATCGCTGATGAGTTTATTCATTGACTGTTGGCTTCTGGAAATGCCACATTAATTAGTTATCTTGTGCCTATTTCTGTGTAGCTAGAGTTTGACCCACCAGGGCAGACAGCACTGGGCTAGCCAACTGCCTTGAGAAGCCCAATTACTGATCTCACCACAACCAGTTGCTCTTGTTTATAGTCCACCCTCCTGACTTCAGTGCCAGTTAGCATGTACCTATCTCTTCCAATCAAATTCCACATCATCAAGTCTGTAGTCCTTTTCTGTGAGGACTTATAGGGAATGGCTATGCTACATAACACGCATAGTATAATTTTATTTACACATTTTATTTATTCATTTGCATTAACTAGAAAGCTGCCATCTTGCTCTAAAGAAAAAGTAACCCTTCCAGACAAAAATACAATGTGTTAAATCATTCAAGTCCATTGAATGCCCGGTAGAGATTTTTCTGCTTTCCCTCCCCTACACCTGGGCTTTGTTCTCAACACAATTATTCAACATAAGTGTACTCTACCTCTGCTAGGTACAGGGCACTCTACTCTTCTGATTCTTTCCTCTTGCTTCAGCTTTATGATCATCCTGAACCGCTGTTTCCCTGTCTTCATGGTGTTGGCTTGGATCTACTCTGTCTCCATGACTGTAAAGAGCATCGTCTTGGAGAAGGAGTTGAGACTGAAGGAGACTTTGAAAAACCAAGGTGTCTCCAATGCAGTAATTTGGTGTACCTGGTTCCTGGACAGCTTCTCTATCATGTCAATGAGCATCTTCCTCCTGACAGTGTTCATCATGGTAAGCCAGACAGATGGAGAAGACCCAGAAAAACCTTGGATAATATGGTTTTTCCCATACTTTCTCATGTTAATGAACTTGTGCCTGGATTAGTTATTTTCTGACTACCAATGGGAGCATGACATTTTAGCTGCTTGCCTGTTTCAGCCAGAGGGAAGACACTCAGAGAGACAAAGACCAGCCAAGGAGCCACTGTATCATAACACCCTCCTTTCTTCCACATCCTGCCCAGGGAGCTACTTGGTCTACATAGATTATCCAGCCCCATTCCCTGGGTTCTCTCAAGAAGCTGTTGTTAGCACAGGTTGATTGTATGTTCAGAGGGGTCCTCTCTTTCCAAACATAGAAGAAATGCGTACAAGCGGTGTTTTGCTGGGATTACTATCCCAACCACTGGCTGAGGTTGGAATGTGGAGAGGCTTTTCAGTGATATCATCATCATGGCCACATCATTCATAGCTTCCCCAAAAAATATTCTCCTGCCTGCAGAATCTCCAAGATCTTTCCATTTTAAAGGATGGAATTTGGAGTCCATCCTTTCTCAATGATAAGGGTTTTTTATAGCCACAGACAGCACGCATGGATCCATGCTCATGCAACTCCCTTCCAAGCTAGACTTGAAAATAAAACTTTGGTTCACAAATATACTGCAATCTCTTGTTTTCAGCTCCTTCATAGTAGAAGATTTATTGTATTTGTTGGATAATAAGAACATACGTTTAGATAGAGTTTTGATATTTGATGACATCTACTTTACAAACTCCTGATATAGTCTTATCTAGCTTATTTTTCCTTTTTCCATCATCATATTAAACACTTCTCTGGACTATGTAATATGTGTGGTGACCCACAGAACTCTGGCTAAGTGTCTCCCTCTCATGCTGGACCATACCTAGTGCTAACCTAATACAAGAATGTTCTATTACATACTCTGTCCAACCAGCCCATATCCAGCTAAAGTCCTGCCCCTTTCTTTGCAGTGAAATGTACCAAGTCTGAAGGGTTTTGTTTTTTAATGTTGCATTAAAATCCAGCGAGCTTTGGCCTTAGTCAAACCCTGTGCTAGAGCCGTTTCAAAACCAAGGCTGAGGTAGAAATCATTCTGCCCCAACAACCTGACTTCATCTGAATGTGGCTTTAAATTTGCAAATGGTGCCAGAGCTCTACAGAGATGAGGGGAGAAGCTGAGCTCCTTGTCTTCCTCTAGGGGTCCCATGTTCCTTCCCATCCTTTGGTCTGCTCTTTTCCAAGATAGTCTGTGTCCTCAGAATTAAAGAAGTCAAAATGCATAAACATCTGACTTGCAATGGCCATGAGACTTTGTCTGACTTGACCTTGAGCTCTGACTTCAATGGGACATTAGGACTTCAAAGCTTTTAGGACGTGAGGCAAAGAAATTTCTTGCGCAAAGGGGTTTCTCCTTGTGGGAACTGGAACATTGTTCCAGTAAGGACGGAAACAGAGCTTTCCACACCAAAATAGGGTTTTCTTTTGAATGACTTTCCCAGTCCCTTCCTCCCCACCACAACCATGCAGGAAAAAAGCTGGAAGCAGGGACAATGGGAAGGTTCCATTGTTATGCAAGCTACTGAAACAACAAAGAAAAGTGGTCTTTGTTGTAGGAAGCCAAGGCATGACTGACATCTCTGCCTTGAGTCAATTAGAATTATACAGCCCTAGAAGTCCTAGGACTTTGCTTTGAGGAGAAACTGGGCTGAGGGACGGATTCCATTCTTCTGAGAAGAGCTGCGATCATCTTAATGTACTTCCAGCCACAAACCACATGTTTAGTCATGAACTTGCTTTTGTTGTGTTCCCAGGTGATAAAGGAAAATGAGTGGGCTTTCCAGGGTGATGTGGAGAACTGTGACACAGAAGCAAGAGCTCTGACTCCTAATCTTGCCTTTTGTTTAGATTTCCTCAGACTCTGATTCTAGTTAAGCATGGCTCTCTTCCAGCACATTTCCCATTTATCTTTTTTTTTTTTTTTTAATCTATCTGTCAGTGCCCAGCAGGCATTAGATTATAAAGGAGAAACGGTGGCAATAGCAGATAAGTAGCACATCTGTTCACCCCAACTCTTACATGCACATGATAGACATTGTTAACTGATCTCTCTCTTCTACTGAAAGGAACCCAGTACTTTAGGGAGCCACTACCAATTTATCAGAACCCATTCATGAAGTGAACTTATTTATGCCTCCAAGTTCTCGAGAAAGCCCGAGATGATCTATATATATTTGGAGATATGTTGAAAGGGTAAAAATTCAGAAAGCCTAATAAATTTGAACATCTCAATTTATCCTATAGTGTAACTAGGCGGTAGCCCACTTACTGAAAGTTGCTAGTTTGGTCCTATTTTCTACAAAGCCAAAGTAATTGACTTTGGAGGATATTGAGTATTATCCACAGGTTTTAAGAAATGTATTTGTGTGATGAACATGAATGGAAAGGATCAATCCATTTCCAAGTGATCTGGATTAATCACTGATGTTTTTACCAATATGAGTGGCAAATCTCAGAAGTCAAACTACAAATGATCGAGTCAGTAGGCCAGGCTCCAGACAAAACACTAAAGCTTGTTTCAAGTGGTCTTCCACCTCCCTTGTTTCCCATCTACTCAGTACAGCCAGGCCTCTATTAATGCTCCAAGACCCCCTATGCAGGTCTTCCTCTCTGCTCTAGATATATTTATCCACATTATCCCCTCCCCACCAAGGATCTACTTACTTAACACATAATAATTACTAGCGACTGATATTGTCGGGTGCTGTCGAGTTGATTTCAACTCATAGCAACCCAATATGACGGAGGAGAACTGCCCCGCAGGGTTTTCTAAGGCTATAATCTTTACGGGAGCAGGTCGCCAGGTCATTCTCCTGTGGAGCCACTGGGTGGATTCAAACTGCCCAACTTTCAGTTAGCAACTGAATGCCTAACCGTTGTGCCACCAGGGCTCCTCTAGTGACTGATCTAAAAAACCAAACCCTTTGCTATCGAGTCATCTCTGACTTGTAGCGACCCTATGACTGATAGCCTAAAGCGTTACTTGTCCCAGGGAAAATGGCATTTGTAGGATTAAGAGATTGAAAGCATTGAGTCTCTAAATATGGAAATTTAGGCACCACCAACAAGCTGGTGGGAGAGATCCTTCTGGGACAGAGGGCTTCGGGGGCCCTGGGATCATTGCACCAGAGGTCCCACCCCCTGCATGTGATGCTGCCCCTGGACATGGGAGGGAATTTTTGACCTGTGACCTCTTTGGTTTCAGCATGGAAGAATCCTACATTATAGCAACCCGTTCATCCTCTTCCTGTTCCTGTTGGCGTTCTCCACTGCCACGATCATGCAGTGCTTCCTGCTCAGCACCTTCTTCTCCAGGGCCAGCCTGGCAGCAGCTTGCAGCGGCGTCATCTACTTCACCCTCTACCTGCCACACATCCTCTGCTTCGCCTGGCGGGACCAGTTGACGGCCAAATTGAAGTTAGCTGTGGTGAGGGGTCACCCTGGCATGTGATACGTTTCCTCTAAAGGGTCATAACCCATCTTGTAGGACTGGTGACCCTCTGAGGAGGCCCACTTTGCCTCTTGGCATAAAGGGACTGAGGGCTAAAAGCCACAGGGCAGAAAGTAGGAGAAGACTTCACTCAGAGTGACTTAACATTTACTCCTCACCCAACCTGCCTGATGAATCTGTCCTGGGAAGTAATTGAAACATCAGTTCAACTCACAAAGTCCCTTTGTTTATCCACAAGAGAACGACCAATGTGACATGTCACTCCATCTCTTTTCCTAGCTTTGCAAAGATTCAGACTGTTCTGTCCAGAAAGAGGTTTCCATGAATTAAGTTTGGTTTCTCTCCAAAATAACTTGAACTGAGGTAGCTCTACAAGTGTCTTGAAAATCCTCTACCAGGACAGGCAGAAAGGGATAGCGAAATGACCCAGTCCACACAGGACCAGACCACAGTCAGGAGAGGGCTCCAGGACTTGGCCTCTGGTTGCTGAGAGATCTCTTAGTTCATGATTCCCAAACTAACAGCTCTGCCTTTTCTCTGATTGTTTTCAAATGAACCATTTCCACCATCTTATTGACACAGGCTAAGCAGCCTCTGGGCCCTGTAACCAAACCACTTGCCATCGAATCCATTCTGACTCATGTGCTTTTGTTCTTTCTGCCCAGTCAGCAGCCACCCATGAAGACTTGGCTGGGGAGCTTCCGCTTCAGACTTCTTTCTGCATTCCATTTATTCAATTGACTTGTTTTCTGCATGGAGAACAAAAGAAAATGATTGTCCCTAGTCTTGAGATGGGGAAGGGTGGTAGTCAGTGCAAAGCAAGGCTTTTCCTTCCTCTCTGACAGACATTGGGGGTCACGGGACAATCCCCTGCTAGCCCCCTAGCCTGCCCTAGGAAACTGATGACCTTTATGGATCTTCAAATGGGATTTTCCCTAAGCATCTCATGTTAGCATCTTTGTTCCGCCAAGTACCATCTGAAGGGAAAAGAGGGAGGCAGGATAACATGAGGTCCTTTGGTTCTTGGCCGTGTTCTGTTGTGTGGCATTTCTTTGTCTTCCCTATTACACTGCACAACTCAACTGTGTTCCATTGAACAGGTGAGAGGTGGCCAGGGGGTGTTGGGCAGGGGTCCCTGAGGCTTGAGAGACATTTCCCGAATTTTCTTTCTGTGGGAAGACTGCCTTAACCCCACCCAGAGGTGGTCTCACACTTAGATACAGCGTGGACCCTCTTTTGGTTCTTCTCCTGTCCTGTGGCCTGGTGGGTTTCTGGGTACTGCTGTGTTGGATGAAAGACCCTCTGCTCATCTCCTGGGCCCCCTGTGCCCTACTGCAGAGCCTGCTGTCTCCTGTGGCATTTGGGTTTGGCACTGAGTACCTGGTTCGCTTTGAAGAGCAAGGCCTGGGGCTGCAGTGGAGCAACATCGGCAACAGTCCTATGGAAGGCGATGAGTTCAGTTTCCTGCTGTCCATTAAGATGATGCTCTTCGATGCTGCTCTGTATGGCTTGTTTGCCTGGTACCTCGACCAGGTCTTTCCAGGTAAGGGTTCCTCTCCATAGAGTAAAGTCATCTGGGTTCTTCAGATCCCCAAACTGGTTGCCAAGGAGTTGATTCTGACTCATAGTGACCCTACCCCGCCCCTACACCATCTGGTTTAAATCTGATCGTTTCTAAGCTCCTTAAATTTTTGCTCTCAGAACCAGCATTTGAAACTTAAAGCTCAGTGTCAAAAATCCATCAGCAAATCCCATTGGCTCTACTTTAGAAGTAGATCCAGAATCTGGTTCCTTGTTACCACTCCCACCACTGCCTTTCCAGTCCAAGACTCCATCGTCCACCCTCATCTTCTACTCTAGACCATTCTCCACACAGTATTCAGAGAGATCTAAGGATCTAATTCAGATTGTGTCAGCTCCTATTCAAATCCTTCCAATCGCTTTTCATCTCGTTCAGAGTAAATCCAAGGTCTCAACCCCGGCCTATGACATGCTACAATATCTGGCCTTGCACTGTTTTCCTCATGTCATGTCCTTCTGCCCCATGTTTCTCTGCTCTGGCCACACCAGCCTCCTTACTGTTCTTCAGCACACCGAGTACATTTCCTTCTCAGGCTCTTTGCATCTGCTGTCCTATCTACCAGAAGCATGGCCCATCACCACCCCCCTTCAATCTGCAGACTTGCTTCCTGTTCAAATGTCACTTTATCACAGGGCTTTTTCCTGACTAAAAATATCTAAATATGTATCCTTACAGAAATAGCATCCTTTCAGTGCTCCTGTCCCCTTTATTTTTTAAACACTCTTCATCACCTGAGATGATACATCTTTATGTGTTTATTGACAGTCTACCCTCAAGAGAATATGAGCTACATGAGCATGGGCACCTGGTTGTTTCATTCACTGTTATAGGCCTATTGCCTAGAACAGTACCTGATATTTGGTGGACACTGAATAAATATTTAATTAGTCATAGCCAAGAAAACCCTATGGAGCAGTTCTACTCTGTAACACACGGGGTTGCCAGGAGTCAGAATTGACTCAACAGCGACTAACAACAATAACGACGTGTTGCAGCCTGGAAGATCATCTCCCAAATCAAAATTGAGTGTTTGTACCGTTTTGTATTTGCTTTGCAGGAAATTGAATTTCCCTTCAAATGAACATTTCCTGGTAGCTAAAAAGTCTCTCCTCCACTTGAGTGATTTCCAAGTCAACCCAAAGCTACCTTGGATTCTGGCAGTTGTGAGCTGGTCTCCATCCTGTGGCCAGGAGCAGGCAGGGGAGAGGGAGGCTGGGGGCCTCCGGGGAGGGATGAACTCACGGCTCTCAGATCATCTCAGCAACCCCCGAGTTGGAGAAAGAATGCTAAACTGAGAGTCAGCAGGCCTGAGTATAGATCCTAGCTGTGTAACTTTGAGCAACACATTTAATCTTGCTCAGCCTCAGTTTCTTCTGTCTCGCTGGGCCACTGGGAGAAGGTATCACAAGTGAGAATTATTAGTTGAGATGAAATTTCAGTTTGTGCCTAACTCAAGAGATTTATCTTAGCCAAAAGCTTTAACTTGTTCAACAACCATTTGCTGAGTAGCACTATGTGTTAGGGGCTCAGCAGAGCCAGATTCTGGGGATAGAGGGGTGGACCAGACTGACCTAGGCCTGCTCTTGAGAAGCCTGCGATCTAGCAGTGGAGAAACCCATAAAACATGTGACAACTATTAAACAAGCAAAGACTGTGTTCTCACAAAATCAACATTTTGCAAGGAATAAAACTTGCTATAGAACTGAACTATACATTTTAGAGTTTGTTCCTGAAACCCAGATGGAGCCAGTAGAATGAGGTGGTTAAGGAAAGTGGTATTAGAACCCAATTACCTGAGTTCCAATTCCTGCACCTCTATTTAATTAGCCGTGACCTTGAGCAGATTTTTCAACTTCTGTATACTTCCATTTCTTATCTGTAAAACAATAACAGTGCTATCTACATCCTAGAGTTGTTTTGCAGATTAAAGTATTTAATACATGAAAAGTGCTCACAGCAATGCCTGGCACAGAGAGAGCATCCAACAAATGTTAGTGATTATCATTACTATTCTCTGTTAACTGTTGGAAAAGGATATAATTTAATTCTTCAATGAGATTTTTTTGGGAAAAAAAACGTCAACCAAGATCATTAGTCATTAGTCTTAGTGTTGCTAGTTCCACCCAAGAACATAACCTTCTAGATAAAAACGTTGGGAGAGCAGACTTTGTGGTAGCCATGTTACGATGAATGCAATCTAAATATTTATAGTTACAATTTGACATTCAGATAGATAAATTTGAGATTTTATGGAACTGTGGTAAAGTGAAAAAGGAAGACTATTGAGGTTTTTCTCTTTATTTGCCTGTCTATTTTTAGGGGATTATGGAACGCCACTTCCCTGGTACTTCCTTCTGCAAGAGTCCTACTGGCTGGGTGGTGAAGGTGAGTTATTTAAAAGCAAAACATAATCTTAATGCATGAAACTAGCTCCTTTGGCCATGTGTAGGATATGTGTGGATTGTAGAAGCGGCCCTTTATGTCATGGGTATGATTCCTGATGAGTCAGCCGCCACCTGGGTCCTCTGCCACCACGGCAAGGCATCACAGCTTCTGGGAGCCCACCCTTCATGGTTCCTGAGAGATCCTGGGCTAGAGCAAGTGGCCCAGCACTGATAAACCCTGGGTCCTGGACAATTCGTTCATGGTGGATTGTTACCTTATTGAACAAATCACTGCAGGGTGCAAATGACTTTTGCAGTTTCTCATATTAAGGCAAAGAGATCCAGAGAATCATGAAGGAATCTTTTTATTCATCTTCTGATGTCTGCTTTCTTTTATTCTTCGCCACCTTTTCAAAACAGAAATTAAATATTTCTCCCAAGGTGATGGCCCTTCCAGAGGTTGGGGTGGGGCTATTCATCTTCAAGGCAAATACTCCAAGGCTCTCCTGGGGTTTCTTGTGGCCCAGGAAGGAGGACTAAAAGATTAGCCCGGGATGGATATTAGATACAATTTACCCATGTGTCAGTGGAGGCTTGCATGTTGCTATGGTGCTGAACAGGTTTCAGTGGAGCTTCCTGACTAAGACAGACTAGGAAGAAAGGCCTGGTGATCTATTGCTGAAAATCAGCCAGTGAAAACCCTGCAGATTAAAAAGGTTCCATCCACAGGTGATCTTGGGCATGGTGCAAGACTGGGCAGCATTTTGTTCCATTGTGCGTAAGATGGTCATGAGTTGGGGCCGACTCCATAGCAACTAACAATAACAACGACCCTTTCCTACTGACCAAGACAGGGGGCCCAGGGAGAGTTCTAGAAGTGGGAAAAAACCACAGACTCTTTTGTGAAGCATATGAACCTGGGGATTCCCCTGGAGCCAGGAGGTTCTGGAAGCAAAGAAAATTCCTTCCAATCTGTTTTGTTTTTGTTTTGTTTTGTTTTCTTCACCTACCTGCTCTTTACTTTGTAGTATTGGGCCTGGGCCAGGATTCATCCTTGAAGCACCGACACAGATGTTTGTTTTCTCTAGGGGATTAGTCTAGGGTGTTTAAAAGCCTATTTTTTTTTTCTTAATGGTTCAAACAAACAGCACTTCAACAACTCAGTATTTTTCCATTATGTTGGTCTGTCTGTCTATCTATAGACTTTTAAATTTCCACTGTCCTAAAGTTATAATCCTATCATCGGTGGGAGTGTGCTCTGGGAAGGTTTCTAACGTCAATGAATGTTAGGACTTGTGATATTTTCTTTCTCTACAATACCAGCAGGTACTCTACCTCTCAAAAAAAAAAAAAAAAAAATTCCTAAGACAAGTGTCCTCCTTCAAAAGGTGAATCACATATATATTTTTGCTGACAGAAGCCAAATAGTTGTCATCAGTTTCACAGGCTAAGACAGAAATCGATTCCTAAAATTCTAAAGTCAGAAAAGAGCTGAGTCTCTCCACCCAGCCCCCTCCTTTCACAAATGAAGAGGCAGGAGACAGTCCAAGGTGACTTGGGGCACCATCTGGAACCAGGACACAGATTTCCTGGCATGGGACTCACTCCAGTGACTAAACTATTTAGAAGGATATTTCCCATGCTATTTTATTACACGTTAGTACAGTGTGTTGGCTGTTAAAGTGATGAAAGGAATATGGGCAATAGGTTTAAAAATCATTTGGAAGTAGAAATAGAAGTACTGGCTGTGGAGCATCCCTGACCACCAGGCCTCATCGCTTGCTGCTGCCCTACATATACTCCAACTCTACAGAGGGAGGAGCGGGCAGAGAGAGGCCCTGACTGGCTACTGCATTAGGGGAAAAAAACTCACCCTGCTCACGTGAGGCCCAGTGACTTCAGACAGCTGGCAACAGCAGTTTCCTCCTGCCTCTGCTTTCCTCTTTGGCTGGCTCGCTCTTCTGCTTCTCTTCCCTTTCCAGGATGTCCTGATGTCCTTTTAAACCAAATGCCAAGTTTACAAAGTGCGCCTGTGTGTGTGTGTCTGTGTGTGTTTACACTTCTCAGTTTGTCTAGGCCTGTACCTCAACCCCCCAATTGTCAGTTTGTTGTACTGCGGTGGCTTGTGTGTAGCTGTGATGCTGGAAGCTATGCCACAGGTATTCAAATACCAGCAGGGTCACCCTTGGTGGACAGGTTTCAGCTGAGCTTCCAGACTAAGACAGACTAGGAAGAAGAACCTGGCGATCTACTTCTGAAAAAATTAGTCAGTGAAAACCTTATAAATAGCAGTGGAACACTGTCTAATATAGTGCCATCAAGTCAAGTCTGACTCATGGCAACCCTGTGTGTGTCAGAGTAGAACTGTGATCTGTATGTGGGGTTTTTCGTTTTATTTTGATTTTTATTATGGTGAAAATACACATACCAAAACATCCACCGACACAACAACTTCCATATTTACATGATCATTGCCATTCTAATGGGGATGAGGTGATATCTCACTGTGTTTTTGATTCGCATCTCCCTAATGGCTAATGATGTTGAGTACCTTTTCATGTGCTTGTTGGACATTTGACTATCCTCTTTGGTGAACTATCTGTTCAAGTCCTTTGTCTACTTTTTTTTTTTTAGGTTGTGTTTTTGTTATCTTACAGAAGTTTTATATATATTTTGGAGATTAGGCACTTATCTGGTATATGGTTCCTGAAAATTTTTTTCCAATCTCTAGGTTATCTTTTCATTTTGTTGATAAAATTCTTTAATATTCTATAGGATTTTCAGTGGCTGATTTTAGAGAAGTAGATTGCCAGGTCTTTCTTCCTAGATGCCTCTGGGTGGATTCAAACCTCCAACATTTTGGTTAGCAGCTCAGCACATCAACCAGTTACAAAAGGTTGGAGGTTTAAGCCCACCCAGAAGCACCTCGGAAGAAAGGCTTGGTGATCTACTTCCAAAAAATCAGCCATTGAAAACGCTAGGGAGCATATTTCTACTCTGACATGCACATGGGGTTTCCATGAGTACCAACTGACTTCATAGCAAATGATTTTTTCTGCTACCTCAACCAGGCTCAACTCTGGTGTTAAAAATCAAAGCAAAATACTGAAATGCCCATATAGGTAGATTTCTCAGCTAAACCATTCCTCAAGCTGTTCCTTAAACTGGGTGCCCATCATATCACCTGGAATGGACTTTTACTCAAGGTTCACCAGGACTTTGCTGTGGATTGGGGTGAAAGTCTGAGTCTGGTGGGCCTGCATGGCGGCTGGTCTTCTGAACGCTGACTTAGACCTCGGAGGGAACTGCGCTTTGCTGTTATCTTAGAAAACTCATTTGCTCCCCCCACTTCTCCTCTCCTTTCCTGTCTTTACTGATTCCTAGCTCTCACTGGAGAAGTAACACTTGCTTTTGGTTGGTACAGGGTGTTCAACCAGAGGAGAAAGGGCCCTGGAAAAGACCGAACCCCTAACAGAGGAAATGGAGGACCCGGAACATCCAGAAGGAATAAATGGTAAAAGCCCCAGACAAAGAACACAGAGCAGAGACAAGGAGAAGGCTCTGAACACTGCAAAGGCCCTTGCAGACCAAGACACCTCATGATTAGCATGAAATGAAACCCAGAAAACCGACTCTCTGTTGACAAGTGTTAAACGCGGTGCCCTCTCAAGGGTCCAGCTGCATGTGTGTGGAATGAATGGTCCAGCCCAGACATGAACGCATATTTCCTGGAGAAAGCAAACCCCAAGTATGTAGTGTGTCTGTGCCCTTGTTAGGCAAATCCCAAGTGAGTTGCACAAATGTGCTGACTTCCGAGGATTTAGCGAGAACAATAACTTGGGTCACTGGGCCTTAAAGCGGATATGAGCTATAAGGAAAGACAAAAATAAATGCAATGCCTTGCTTCTGTGCTCAAGGGGGATGAGCACTCCAGGGGAACTGACCACACTTCACTCGGGTTTACAAATCTAGAAGCCCATTCATTCAAGCCATCAAAAGCCTTTCCTGACAGTGGAAGTTACCTAATAATTCTTGAACTAATGGACCAGGTTCACAAGTGTTATCTCTCCTGCCTTTGCCGTCCTTATCTTCCCTCTCAAATCTGTACTGTACTTTTCCCAAGGGTTTCTATTCCCTAAGCATATGGCATTTCTCTCTGGTTGCTAAAATGCTGTTTCTGTCATCACCCTGGCTTTGGAGGGGCAGCATAGTCTCTGGGCTTTGCCTGATTTTGCATAAGTGGGTTCGGTTCCATGCCTTCTCCCCACCTCAGGTCTGTTTCCCACCAGTGAGGCCAACGACTCGCACCAACTCACAGAGCTGGTTTGCAACCACCAGTACCTCTGGGTAGACCCCGCTCCCAGAGTGGAACTTCAAAGCTGAAATCGGGGGCTGGGGGTCTAGTCCCACCTCAGTCACAGGCAAGGCCAGGAGGAACAGAAGGAGCAATAGGTTGCTTTCTGCAGGGGAGTAAACACTCAGTACGACAATATTGAGAAGATAAATCAAGTAGTGTTGTGTGGGGTAAACTGAGCAGGGAGAGATTCGAGGTCAGAGAGAAGGGGAAATCATGGTAATGTGAGCCGGTACTGGAAAGGGGTGTGTGGGAGTAGAAAAGTAGAGGGAATTTGAGGATCAGTGAAGAGGAAGAATGGACTGCCTGCCCAGTTAATCAGAGCAACCCTGGAATTTTAAGGAGCAAAAAATCAGCCTTGGCCAAGGTGACTAGGAGAATGGTGACTGCAGGAATGGACATTTTTCTGAAGAAAAATGTTGTTTAGGGAGGAAGATGAGGAGTGTGAGCTGCTACCCGAAATCCATGAGGAAATGTCTCCACACTGTCAGAAATGAAGGCCTGGTACTGAGGACTGAGCTTAGGGCTAACTTTGTAAAGACAGAGAGTGCCCTGTAATGAGCGTGGACACTGAAGCCAGACAGTCTGGGATCAAATCCCAGCTCTGTCACCTCACGAGCTGTGTGGCCTTGATAGGAAACTTGATGTCTCTGTGTCAGGTTTCCTCATCATAGAAATGACATAATAACATCCACTCCATAGGGCTGTTATAAGGGTGAAATGAGATAACCCAGGCAGAATACTTGAAACAGTACCTGAAGCACAGTGACTGCTCAATAAAAGTTAGCTGGCATTGTTATCATTATTCTATAGATTTGGCAAGTGTCCTTACAAAGGTCATAGCTGAAGCCATGGGAGCAGGTGAAACTATAGGAGAAAACAACAGTCTGAAGAAAGAACTTTGGGGAACGTGTACATTAAGGCATTATATTTACATCATGTTCGTTTTTCCCTTCCCAGAATCCTTCTTTGAACGTGAGCTTCCAGGGTTGGTTCCGGGGGTTTGTGTGAAGAATCTGGTAAAGATTTTTGAGCCCTGTGGCAAGCCAGCTGTGGACAATCTTAGCATTAACTTCTACGAGAACCAGATCACCGCCTTCCTTGGTCACAATGGAGCGGGGAAAACCACCACCTTGTGAGTCTTCAGGCAAAGAAGTTGAATAGCGATTCTCTTCTGTCATTTCTTGACTTTATTCTTTCCCTATTAGCTGCAGTCTACCCTTCCCCACTGAATTTTAGTGGCAAAAAATACACTCTATATTTGTGGTCCCAGGAATGTGTAAAGTGCACTGCAATTCAAAGCCAGCTCCCATGGACTGTTTCATTTGATCTTCACCAGAAGCCCGAGAGGAAAGTGGAGCAAATTTCATTGCCTTCTTTGTGTGCCCTAGGAAGCAGAGATTCAGTGAGTTGAAGTGGCTTTCTGAATGTCATTGAGCTCCAATGGTTCAGTGGGGCTAGAACCCGGTCCTCCCACCACAGGGCTCCTTCTTTTGCACAAGAGCTCATCTCTGACATCCAGGAGCCCGCCCCACCCTCACCCCCTCCTGGGTTACCTGTATTAAGGCAGTGATGAAGCCACTACATCACCCCTGGGACTCTGCGTTGGTAGCTGTTAGTTGCCACTGAGTCAATTCCAACTCATGACAATACCACGTGTACAGAGTAGAACCACTCCATAGGATTTCCAGGCTGTGACCTTTCAGAAGCAGACTGCCAGGCCTGTCTCCAAGGTGCCTCTCTGTAGGTTTGAATCACCACCCTTTCAGCTCGTTGTCGAGTGCTTAACCGTTTGTACCACTCGGGCACTTCTTATTTTCACAGAACATTCCTTTACCTGCTCTTTGCTAGGCAGCGTCTACATCAGAGTGGGGCTCCTGATGAGGGTTGGTAGTAGTTCTGGAGAAAGGAAAAAGGATGCTCTCTCTAAAGGGGCCTGTGGGGTAACACCCTGGCAGTTGAAAGTCCAGTTCAGGGAAGAGGAAGACTCTGTGGACCGCTCAGCCGGCGGCTTTCCAAGCTACTCTCAAGGGCCTGAGCGCCCTCTGCTGAGAAGGAGAACTTGCTGGCTAAGGTTTCCCAAGGAGCAGCCGAGGCTGACCTCTCAGAGGGCAGTGAGCCCGTGTAATAAGTAGTCCTCATGTCCCTCGGCTTTTTGCAAAGCCCCAGGAAGGAACAGCAAAGTGTACACCCTACTTTGGAATGTTCTCTGAGGGCAGGTCAGTGTGAATGGAATGTGGGGCCGGTGCCATTATATTTGGTTCTGTTTCCCTCTAGTGGTTGATCAACAGAGATTTCAGCTTCCAAATCCAAGTTCAGATAGCCTGAGATGGTATCTGAACTGAGGACAAAGCTGGGTGTGGCCACACTGGCTCTGCCTGATTTCTCTCCTTGTGAGCTAATATGGTCAGAGAGCACCAAGTTCCATCCAGCATCCCAGGGCTTCTCAAGGGCAAACAGATTACTTCATCCGCCACTGAAACGCAGCTTCCCCAGGAGGTAGAAACATAATGTTCAATAATAATAGTAACAGTGAGTTTTAGCTTTACTTTATGCTGGCACTGTTCTAAGAACTCTAACTTATTGAATCCTCACAATAACCCCATATGGTGGGAGTCCTTATTTCCCATTTTACAAAAAATTTAGTAGTTGCTATTGGGCTTTTTATCTTTTGGATCCAAAGATGATACCCTTGGTGATAATTCCTGTGCCTGGCTTCAGTCAATTAATCAACAAATAAACAGGGAAGGGGGGCATTGGTGGTTCAGTAGAATTCTCACCTTCTGTGCGGGAGACACGGGTTCCATTCCAGCCAACATACCTTATGCGTAGCCACGACCCACCTGTCAGTGGAGGCTTTTGTGTTGCTATGATGGTCAGTGGAGCCTCCAGACCAAGATGGACTAGGAAGGTCTGGCGATATACTTCTAAAAATCATTCAGTGAAACCCTATGGATCGCAATGGTCCAATCCTCAACCAATCACAGGGATGGCGCAGAACCAGGTAGCACTTCGTTCAGTTGTGCATGGGATCACCATGAGTTGGGGGCTGACTCGACAGCAGCTAACAATACACATTGAAGGTCTACTGTATGCCAGGGCTTCTTGCCATCATTAAGACCTTAGCCTGGGCTTTGTGATGGGGACATCTGGATTTTCAACATCTGTGACCACTCGCCCAGCAGGAAAAGCATTTACCCATGCAGTGAACACCTTTTATTGACCCATACAGTGCCAGGCACTATGTTACCACATTGGAAAGGGACTTGCAGCTGCAAAAGAACATTCTGACTGTGGTGTATAGAATTATGTAGCTAAGACTGGGATTGCAAGGTTCATGAGATTAGATTGTGGTTAATAGAATTATATATATATACTGCCCTGGCGGCGCAGTGGTTAAGCATTTGGCTGCTAACCAAAAGGTCGGCAGTTCAAATCCACCAGCGGCTCCTTGGAAACCCTATGGAGCAGTTCTCTTCTGTCCTATAGTGTCTCTATGAGTCAGAATCGACTCCACAGCAGTGGGTTTGGTTTTTTAGGAGTTATATACATATATACATATATATATGTATATAAAATAATGAAAAGGTTAATTTACAAAGGAAGAAAAACAGAGAGAGAATGTTCTGAGAGGCTGGGGTGGTCTGAGGCCCTCAGTGACAGCCTGGGAGAACTGGCAAAGAAGTAGAGGCAGAGAAGGAGGGCAGTGTGGTCGTCCGCATTCGGGCCTGCAGGTACACACCCTGTATGTGGAACTGTCTCCACAGGTAATGACTGTTTGGGTTCAATTCAGAGCCACAGGTAGGCATCGCTGTGAGAGTCCTCACCGACCCTGGTGAGGGGCTGCCCTCCCAAGGCGTGTTCCTAAAGACCATCTCTTCTGCCCACTGACGGCTGCGTTTGGCAGGTCCATCCTGACGGGTCTCTTGCCACCGACGTCAGGGACTGTGCTCATTGGGGGAAAGGACATTGAAACCAGCCTGGATGCGGTGCGGCAGAGCCTTGGCATGTGTCCGCAGCACAACATCCTGTTTCACCAGTAAGTCAAAAAGGAACTGAGACCCTCCCCAACCCCTCTCCTCACCCTTGCCCCCAATACACACACTCTCTGGAGCCCAGTTCAGGGATGCCAGGTCTGGGGGCGGATGGCAGTACTTTTGTTGGCCTTTTCCAGTGTTCAAGGTCCTTTTGTCCCTGCTTGCAGTGAGAAATGTCCCTCAGGGAAAGGGATTGTATCTCTGGTGCTTGGAAGTGAGGTCTCCCTCAAAAGAGTGATGCCACCTTCTCTCTGACAGAGTGGCTGGTCTCTAGGCCCTTTGCTTGGCCCTGAAATATTTCTCAGGAACCAAAGAGAGGAGAATCCATGTTCCTTTTTCCCTTTTAAGCCATGATGCTAAAGATTGACTTTTCAGGGCATTTTTCAGTTACTCTTTTTTTCCCCCAGTTAAAATATCTCTTACTTCTTATCTAAAAAACTATACATAGTCATTGTTGAAAGAAAGAAAGGGAGGGAGGGAAGAAGGGAAGAAGGAAGGATAACCAAAAAGAAGAAAACAGAAGTCATCTTTTATTTCACCATCCGGAGATAAATTAGATACACTTAGGTATAGAATTTTATAATTTTTAGAACGTTCTCCTATGCATATATAGATGTAGCTTCGTACTTTAAATGGAGTCCCATTTGAAATGGGTAGCACAAATGGTTAACACTCAACTGCTAACCAAAAGGTTAGTGGTTCAAGTTCACCCAGAGGCTCCTTAGAAGGAAGACCTGGCTATCTACTTCCAAAAAATCAGCTGATGAAAACCCTGTGGAGCACAGTTCTATTCTTATGCACATGGGGTCACCATGAGTTGGCATCAACTCAATGTTAACTGGTGTTTAAAACCTACCATTTTTTTAAGTGACTTTTTTTAACCGAAGATATCATGAACATCTTTTCATGTTGTTAATTATTCTTTTATAAAATAATTTTTAATGTTTACATCCTATTCCATTATATAAATGTATTATTTAAGTATTTCCCTATCGCTAGATATTTAGGCAGTGTTTGTTTTGTTTTTGTTTGGTTTGTATTATGAACAATGCCATGGTGAACATCTTCATTGCTTAATCTTTGTACCCATCCTTAAGATTAAATCCCCAGAAGAAGTGGAATTGCTGAGCTCATTGCCTTTCTCACTGTCCTGTCCCCACAGCCTCACAGTGGCTGAACACATCCTGTTCTATGCCCAGCTGAAAGGAAAGTCCTGGGAGGAGTCCCAGCTAGAGATGGAAGCCATGTTGGAGGACACAGGCCTCCACCACAAGAGGAATGAAGAAGCTCAGAATCTATCAGGTGTTTGATATTGGAAAAATACAGGGCTACAGATGGCAAAAGCTATTGTTTCCCAGTGCACCTCAGGTCAAGGGTATCTGTGGACAGGGAGAGTGTAGGTGGTGGTGGGGCTTATAACAGGCAAGCTCTTAAGAGTCGGAACACTTCTATAAAGTTATTCTGGGATGCTAAGAGCGGCCAACTTCTGGATCATTTCCCACATGGAACATTGTCTCACAGCAGCTTCAGCTTTATTTGTTCTGGTATCTATGTGTTTGAACTAAAATAGGAGGGCAGTCTTCAAACAGTCTGATCCTAGAAGGCAGAGATTGCCTTTTCTGCATTTACAAGACCTGCACACAGCTAGGGTTTTTGAATAAATGTCTAAAGAGGCAGCATCAGACCACTGCTGGATTTAAGGTATCCCGTGTATACCACCAGCCCTGGATCCTTTCTCTTCTCCATCCTCCACAGCCCCTGTGATGTCCCCTCCCTTTGTACCTCTAGGTGGCATGCAGAGGAAGCTGTCTGTTGCCATTGCCTTTGTGGGCGATTCCAAGGTGGTCATTCTGGATGAGCCCACCTCTGGGGTGGATCCCTACTCAAGACGCTCCATCTGGGACCTGCTCCTGAAGTATCGCTCAGGTAATGGCCCCGGGAAGGACATTGCTTTGTCTCAGGTCCACACTGTCTCATATCTGGAGTTTTGCATCTGACTGCAATAACAGCAGTAACTACATTCAGATGGGGCTTTATCAGTGACTTGGATGAACCTAAGTTCCAGTTGAGTCCTCCTGAGATTTTTACACCATCATAAGCATGAGTCACTGATGGTACAGCCTACTTCCCAGAATATTCTAAAAAGTTTTCTAGCCTGCAGCCCTTCTGTCTGGCATAATAGTGCAGCTCTAAGTGAAATTCCTTTTTGGCTAACGAGACCCAAGTCACCTACAAAAATCCAAGGAAGCTCCATAGCCGTGGGATGGCCACTGAGAACCAGGTGCGAGGGCTACATGCTGGGTATTCAGTGCTACAGAGAAAGGACTGCTATGGATGGGAATGTCTCAAAATGCCTCCTCTGTCACATCACCTTCCAACCAGAGGGTGCAGGTGCAGAAGACAGCAAGCAGAGCTCAGGGTGCCCATAAGAGTGACAGTGTGGTTCAACCCTGTGGTCCAACCCAAGATTTCCCCATCTCTCTATTTGCACAGTATTTCCCTATGCCTTTCACTGAAGATTTGCCATCCTGGAATCCTCATTACCTTTTTTCTTGTAATGGTATCTCTAGTTGGATCCTTGGTGGCGCAGTGGTTAAGAGCTCAGCTGCTAACCAAAAGGTCAGCAGTTGGAATCCACCAGCGGCTCCTTGGAAGCTCTCTCGGGGCAGTTCTACTCTGTCCTATAGGGTTACTATGAGTTGAAATCAAATCAACAGCAACGGGTTTTTGTTTTTTTTTTTTCTGGTTTTCTCTGATTGGTACAAAAGGGTATATATGTGTACGGGTATGTGTTCTTTGCAAAGATTATAAATGTGGATTACGTGATCCAGAGAATACAGAAATGGAACTCAAGAGATGCTGACTAACAGTAATCAGTGTGTCCCATATATGGTGATTTATTTGAATCAGGTCCTATGCCTGATGACAGGATCTTGTTTGCGACAGTGCTTTACAATATGTAGGGTGCTATACAGGTGTTTATACTGGTGGTGTAGTGGTTAAGAGCTATGGCTGCTAACCAAAAGGTCGTCAGTTCAAATTCATCAGGTGCTCCTTGGAAACTCTGTGGGGCAGTTCTACTCTGTCCTGTAGGGTTGCTATGAGTCAGAATCGACTTGATGGCAATGGGTTTGATTTTTTTTTATGTAGGCATTTAATGGAGCCCTGGTGGCATAGTGGTTAAGAGCTTGGCTGCTAACCAAACGGTTGACAGTTCAAATTCATCAGCCGCTGTTTGGAAACCCTATGGGGTGGTTCTACTCTGTCCTGTAAGGTCACTGTCTTAGCCATCTAGTGCTGCTATAACAGAAATACCACAAGTGGATGGCTTTAACAAACAGAAATTTATTTTCTCACAGTCTAGTAAGCTAAAAGTCCAAATTCAGGGCGTCAGCTCCAGGGGAAAGCTCTCTCTCTCTATCGGCCTTCTCATCAATGCTCCCCCAGACTAGGAGCTTCTCTGCACAGAGACCCTGGGTCCAAAGGACGCGCTCTGCTCCCGGCACTGCTTTCTTGGTATTATGAGGTACCCATGTCTCACTGCTTCTGTCTTTTATGTCTCAAAAGAGATTGGCTTAAGACACTGTCTAATCTTGTAGATTTCATCATTATAACTGCCGCTAATCCATCTTATTAGATCATAGTGATAGGATTTACAACACATAGGGAAATCACATCAGATTACAAAATGGTAGACAATCATACAATACTGGGAATCATGCCCTAGCCAAGTTGACAGATATTTTTGGGGGACACAATTCAATCCATAACCATCACTATGAGTCAGAACCAACTCAATGGCACCTAACAACATAGAGGTGTTGGTAGTTGTTGTTGTTATCTAATATCTTGGAATTTGCTGCAGATTTAGCAACCTTGTTCTTATTTATTAACTCCCACTTTGAGTGAACGTGTCACCGGGAGATTGCTGTATGCCGCGCACATCCTCTAGCACTGCGCCCGGTGCAGGGCCTGCCTGGCCATCACTCTGGCCCCTTTCCTTGCAGGCAGAACCATCATAATGTCTACACACCACATGGACGAGGCAGACCTCCTCGGGGACCGCATTGCCATCATTTCACAGGGGAGGCTCTACTGCTCGGGCACCCCACTCTTCCTGAAGAACTGCTTTGGCACTGGCTTCTACCTCACCTTGGTGCGCAAGATGAAAAACATCCAGAGCCAAACAAGAGGCTGTGAGGTACGTGTCTGCCCAGGGAAAGGGCCCGACCTGGGTGAGAAGGAACTCAGGGATTTTCCTAAGACAGCTACCACAGTGTGGCACTGCTGTTCCAGGCATTTCTACACAAATCAAGCTCTAGTTGTCAGAGTTGGCCTCTTTGCTTCCGGGATCATTTGCAGGTGATTTTGATAAACTGACATTCTGAACCCTCCTGCAGAGGTGCTTAGCCCAATATGAAATAACTAGTTTTAAATGGCACGAGATGATTAAATTCCAGTGGTACAAATGGTCAATGCACTCGGCTGCTAACCGAAACATTGGAGGTTTGAGTCTACCCAGAGGTGCCTCAGAAGAAAGGCCTGGTGATCTAATTCTGAAAAATCAGCCATTGAAAACCCTAAGGAACTCAGTTCTACTCTGTCACACACGTGGTCACCATGAGTTGGAAGAGACTCAGGGCAACTGGTTATCCCACACTACATGTTTGGTTTGGTGCAACACAGATGCGAGTGCTTTCTTCTGAAAGGATATGCTGTTTCAAGAAGAGTATTTGTTTAATCATCTTTTTTTCCATTCCAACGTTTACGTTCTGTAAATAAACCTGAGTTCCATTGGCAAAGAAAGCTAAGAAAAGGCCTCCATATGAACTATAATCTAAAAATGATTTAAAAAATTTTTTAAAAAACCCGTTGCCATCGAGTCGATTCTGACTCATAGCAACCATAAAGGACAGAGTAGAATTGCCCCATAGGGTTTCCAAGGAGCAGCTGGTGGATTCGAACTGCCGATCTTTTGGTTAGCAGCCTGAGCTCTTAACCACTGTGCCACCAGGGCTCCATAAAAATGATAAAGGTATTAAAAAAAAAAAAAATACCGATCAGCAGGGACCACTTCAGCATCAGGAGACCCAGGTTCAGCACTTGACCTCAAGGTGGACAGACGGTGATCCTAGGCAAATTATGTAATTCCTTCTATGTTTTTCCACAGGGAGAGTGAAACTAATCATCCCTGCCTTTGCTTCTCAGGGATGTGGTGAAGATAAATGAGATAATGTATTATGAATGTGCTCTGGGCTCCTTGAGAAGAGGCATTACTCACTCAGACTGTCGCAATTGTTACATTGCAGCATTATTTATGCTTCTGGCCCCTCTAGTGGAAGGGTCTGGCTGCTGCTGGGTTTTGTTGTCCCAGGTAGATTTCCACAGCCCAGCGTGTACCCACGGTGAAAGAGGAGCAGAACGCCTGCACGGGCAGACCTATACGTGTCACATAACTAATGACACGTCAATAGGATCCTTTGAGGTTCTGCTCCTCTCTGCCTGACTCACACACTCTCCAGGATAAAATCAAATGGCCACACCCTCAAACTGCTCAGATGAATTAAGAGATTAAAATTGAGAAGAAAAAAAACACATGTTGCACACACTTGGCTGTGAGAAACAAATAAAGCATGGCGCTGAGAGCATCTGGCATCAGGGAGATGTTATCTGAAACAACGTGTCCCTTGCCAGTCATCCCGTCCATCTGTTGTAGGGGACCTGCAGCTGTGCGTCCAAGGGCTCCTCCATCCAGTGTCCAGCCTGTGTTGATGAGCTCACTCCAGAGCAAGTCTTGGATGGTAAGGGCTGGGACAGGCCATACCTCAGTTCTGGCGATCGTCCTCAGTATTGTTGGGTGTGTCCTGTTGGGATGCATTTTAATGGGAGCAAAGAAAGCACTCTGTGTGTTTCTCTGGCTCAACATCGTGCAATTGCTCAGTTTTTCCTTTGAGCTTTCTTCTCCTCCACCCTCCTCCATTTCCGAAAGGGATTTTAAAAATCATGGACTCACAGGACCTCTCTCTTTAATGAAGAATCCAGTCTTTGCTCACTCTGTGCCTTGCCCATATCAAGCCTCCATTCCTGGGGCCCTCCTGGCTCCGGCTCCAGGCAATATTCCTCAGTAGCCAGAGAGGATGGCTTCTAAAGGTGCTCTGTGGAGCCCTCTGGTGGAGACACGGTGCTGCACAGTCTTCAGTGAACTTTACAAGGGAGTCAGAAATTGCGCTGCGTGGATGGCAAGTCTGTGTAATATCACATACCCCATGCTACACTCATAACTCTCCCCTCAGCTTCACAATTTTTCATAGATTCTCCCTTGTATTGGGGCACATTAAGTCTCCAAAGGGGCGTCCCCCCTCCACAGAGCTGTCACAGAGATGCCTCCACGGAGATGCCACTAAAGAAACGATCATTTGCCTTGCAGAATTTGAGCGCGTGGATCCAGAGACCTTGCCAACAACTCTTTCCATTCTCCATTAATACCCACCTGCCTCTCCCATGGGGGTGTCTTTGCAAATGGGATACCACACACCCCATAGTTCCCAAGTAGGAGTGAAGCTAAATTTATGTGCTGACCTAGGCTAATGGAGGGTAGGGGGGTGGGGGGAAGAGGGGAGGATCTGCTTATCAATGAAAACAAAAAAATTCCCTACTTAGCACACAGTTTTTCTAAATCTGGGAAATATACTAAATGAATTCCGGGGGAAACTAGACAATATTTATGTACCATGCTTAAAATTTGAGAGAGCGTGCCTAGAGTTGTGTTTTCAATATTTGTTCCGTCACCATCTCTTTGCACTGACAGAACTGTGGTCAGTGTGAAAACATCTTTTAGGACAACATTTCTGTGTCTTTTTCCCAGACTGCTTTGCTGTGGGTCTCTCCCTGCTTTACGAATGTTTGTGCTGGAAGGAATCTTGGTAAAAAATTTCATAATTTAAAAAAAAAATGAATG